TAGTTCTCCTGTGTCTTTACGTAACAAGGTTATGAGAAATGTCTAATGTCCATAACGGAACGACATTTCACTGAGAACTGGGTGGTTAAAAAATCTTGCCTGCTGCAATGGCGTGTCGTGAGAGGTGACGCGGTAATCTGCACGATAGACGCTTGCTGTTAAGTACAATAGAGCCTGTGATGAAGGGGGAGGGAGGGAGGGAGGGGGAGGGGTTTCCTGTACCAAACATCATTCAGTGCCAAAATCTAGCTCCACTTCCACAACAATACTATCTGGAACATTAGCCGTATTCCGCTCATATTTGCACTTTCAGACTTCTGTCGCATGCTTGGGCTGAAGCCGACTTCGTCTCACTTAACTTCTTGTAATGTAGAATTTGAACCCGTGGAAGATACAAAGTCATTGACGCTTGGCCAGGAACATGGCGTCAATGGAGAGCTAACTTCCGCATTTGATCTCAAAGATCCTGGAGTGTCAAATATAAACGGTAGGTTCATTCATGTTCGAAGAGGGTTGGGGGCATTTTTCTCTCCAGTTATTATGGCAAGACGAGTTCTGTTCGTAGCCATATCCCGACCTTTTTTTTCGTGTGACTTTACGTCCCGTAGAAGAGGCCTGTAACGGCGCACTTCGGCAACAAGGGGAAGGGCATTCAGCATCTTCGCTAGTTCCGGTTTTCAGGCCTCATTCAGGTGAAGTTTGTCAATTCTTGTGGAGCTGGAGCAAGCTCGTTCAGTCACCATGTGAATGGTATTTGTATTTCATTGCTCAACAAGAGTTGAAAGGTTACCTCTAAAAATGTTGGCGTTTCATGGTTCAAGATCTCACGTCCACTTAATGACTCGACTCATCGATGGGAAGTAGCAAACGTGCAAAGTGTCCCTCCCCACTCCCGCCCCCCCCCCTCCCTTTCGTCGAACTGCGCACCTGTAACTGTTGTCATCGATGGGAATTGATATCATAATAAGTAGTGATGGTGACGCATGATATTCCTCAAAGGCAGTTGGCACGATAAATCTCTAAGAAGAGTAGGACTGATACCGCCTGGCAGGACAGGATTCCGCGACCCTAAGCAGGTGCTGCGTAGCGCCTTTTCTGAGGGAGGCACCCTTAGAAGGGCCCTATCGAGCTACAACATTACGACCCGAGCGCCCGCCCGCCCACAAATGGACGACCGTACCTGACGCTCGTATTGCTTTATTTGCAAAGTAAAATATGAAGCGAAGAATTGGTATGAAGCGGCTGCGGTGCATGGATATATGGGAACATGCATGCGGCCGTACCTACAGTAGCGGTTACAAGATGTTCACAGAAAACTCGTCCGAAATTGTCATTAAGGACGAAGGTTTTTCTTCGCAGGTTTTTGACCGTTTCACTTCGTTTTTTCGCCATTTTCCCCACTATGTAGCGCCCTGCTAGCATTTTAGGCCAATCAAGAAAATATCGTGCCAACTGCCTTCGAAATTGCCCTTCCTGTGGCTGTATTGTTTTGGTTCTGAATATCTTCACGAATTGGTGCATTTGTTCGTTTTCAAGCAGATAATGGTTATTCGCTATTAAATGTCCTTGAATATTTTTTCATTTGCTTCACTTTCGATATTTTTATGCTTGCACGCAAGGTGCGATATGAATCGAACTAGTACAAACTTCTGCATTATTGAATGAATCATTACTACATTGGCACACATAAGTGTAATACCCCTCTCTCTATAAAAGTGTTGTACAGCGCTGCAACCAGGGTAGTACAGGATTCACGAAAAGAACCTCATTCGATATTCTAAATTCTGGTTAAGTAGTAATATTACAGGTAAATCGGATAGGGAACGATTATATGGAAGTCCCTTTCACGGTTGTCACCCCATAAAGGGCCCCTGTGAAATCATCAGCCTGCTTCATTCTTCCGGGATATCTTACGGTTAAAGGTGTGCTCTTCATTCTCTTTGGAAAACTAGGTGTTTTATGGTCAAAAAACAACTGTTCTTACTAAACTGGTTTGATGTTACTGTTCAAATTATTAGCGTTTGTCCGGGAAAGTTTGTCTGCGTTTTGGGGTGCTTTTGAAGCTTTAAACGATCATAACTTTCTTAACACTCATCGGATTTAATCCAAATAAGCACCATTCGAATCAGCACACTTTTGCCAATGTGGCAGCAGTCGAGAAATCCCATCAAAAGAAAAAACTGGGATCGTAGGTCGAAGAATTCCAACAGAAATTCTATGCGAAGTCTATTTTGCATGCGTCCTGTTTGATGAAGATAATGTCTCAAGCAGAAAAGATTCTAAAAATGAGTCTGAAAAAAGGTGAACAGTCGGTTGGTGAAAGGTCTAGAGAATATGGTGGGTGAGGTAGAACTTCAACTCCCAATTCGTTCAATTTATGGATAGTGATTTGTGAAACGTGTGGGCGGGCGTTGTCATGCAAAGAGACCCGACCCTTTCTCTCTCTGATAAGTGTTCCGGATCGCCCAGCTGACAATATTTTCGGTACATTTGGTCGGTTTGTTCACAGTAGGGTTCTGCTGTGATGGTTTGGCCTGGTGATGAAAAGTTATAGTGGATTACAACAGCCGATGACCACCAAACCTGACCAGAATTTTTTTTCGTGAGGGTTCGGCTTTGAAAATTACCTCGGTGGTTCCTCCAAATCCAACCACTGTCCGGAACGTCTCCTGTTATCATACTGATCCATTTTTCATCATCACAAGATCGCGGTGTCAGAAGGACGGTCAATTCTTTTGCCACCAAGCCAGCGAAGATGCAACTCGCAGACGATGCCGATTGCACTGCGCATCATCCAGATTGATGGCAGAGCACCAAATTATCGAGAGTTTTTTCACACTATCCCAATTAGAGACGTTCCAGACCATCTGCAAACAACATGGGATTTGCAAACGCCTAGCTCTTCTGCTATCTCTCGAACTGTTTGGGATAGATCAGCCTCCGAAATCCCCTCAAAATCCTCGTCAGAATTGCTTTAGGTCGATCGCTATGAGGTTCACCTTCAAGGCTGAAATTTCCAGAACGACATTTGTTGACCGTGCCGTGAGCCATTGAGCACAGTGCTTCTCTAGCACTGATTTGCCCTCCACACCTGCGTTAATTTTGTTTGAGCTTTTCGATGCGGATTGTGGCTGCGTCTGCGATGTGTGTATGGGCGTGAGAAAAAATCGTCGAAGTGCTCTTTCACGATGTCGTTAGAGAAAAAATCTTGAAAAAGAGGGTTTATCAAGCAATGGTGAAACGGCAATTATACCATCAGATAGCGCAAGAAATTCTCTACAGGATGTGCTACTGAGAAGCAAGGCAGAATGAGTTTTTAATCAGCAGTGAATGTACAAAGATTAGGTGCACTGACGAGGAGAAGCGGCCGTGAGAGGAGGAGTCCGAGGCAACCTAATATTGTAGGTTTTCAAAGATTGTGAACGCTTACTGGAACGCCTACGTGTGATAGCGACCTTTTGTTTTGTTGCTCATCGTGCAAAGGCAGTGCCGGTACAAGTTGTCATAAACTAATTGTTGGCTGGCTTCAATTTTAGTCTTTAAATGAAATCTTTTTTTAAATGTGACTCCTAGACATAAACATGCCAATTATTGCCAGCTGCTCTTTTTTCGATCCACGCCCATTTTCTAGGTCTCGAAAAGGCGCAGCTTGGGATTCTTTAAACCTGCGCGGCCCCTTAGGACTTACGTCAGCAGAGTGGAGCGTATGGGTAATATAAAAAAGCTATCAAAAAGCAAGGAAACAGCCGCCTGATACCCACCGACATAAACCTATGTGTAGAGTGTAGTAAGGGGTAGAGTAGGGGGTGACCTGCATATAGGCGCAGGAAGCTGAAACGGGCGTGGTCGCACGGGAGGGTTCCAATTTCTTATTGCCACCTCTACTCTCTCTTCTCTCTTCACCTCACTTTCACCTCGAATCCGAATCGGAAATGCGAGCAGAAAGACGCGGGCACTGTCCGGTAGCAGTTAAAGAGAAAGAACTGGGGAGTTGACCGATGACAAGTGGTCGGAAAACACAACGCGCTCGTTCGCATCTGTTTCGAGCTCCGACGGGTAGTGTGGTAATGCTCGTGGTAGTGGTTCCTTCATACTCGCGGGCAGGACTACCATTTTTCTAATCGGCGTCTGCGCATCTAATGACCGTGGGGCATGCGCACTACTACCGACACTTGAAGCTGACAAATGCTCTAGACTGCAGGATGATACGGTAGTGTACAGACATTCGCAAACCACAAAAGAAGTTTTTGATGAATCGTAGTCGTTTGGAAGCTATGATAGACGATTTTCAAAAAAAAAGGGCTCAACCTCTTGCTCACATCCGCTGTCAGTTCTCGGGACTGAGAATGCTTGGTTATGTAACCTCGAAAATTCTACTAGAACTTCTCAAAGTGATTGGTATTGACACTGTGGTATGTTTCTGTTTGCGATTTGAAACGGTATCCGTGCTCCTGCTGGATGCCTTCCAGGTTCTTTTTTGAACGCCTTATCCTTCCCTTTCACTTTCTTTCGTGAAACCTCGCTCTACTTTCTGGGTTGGTGTGCTAGTGTTCAGTAGGATCACCCACTATATATAATTTGCTTCGTCTGTTTGTTTGTTTGTCCGGAAATTCGGTTCGACCTGAAGAACAACTTGGAGAGGTCGGGTCAAGGTGGGGATGGGTAGGGCATGGGGCAAGATGTAAATAGCACCCGTGACCCATGGTAAGCCCCGCCCAGTGGGCGGGGCATGCGCCGAAAGTTGGCGGAGCCGCAGAAAAAAAACTCATAACTCGCTTCAGAGCAGCCCAGAGATGGGGAAAAAGTGGAATAAGGTTAGCAAGGGGTTGTCAAACCAATTAGGGGAGACATACCCAAAATGGGTGGAGGGTTGAGATAGGCGGTGCTTCCCGAGAAATTCATTAAGAGAGTTTCCAAATCGCAAATAAAGTCGGTGTAGGAGGGCAACACCTGGGAGAGTTCGGCATGCCTGAGGTGTGTTGAGACCCGCCCACAGTGGGCGGAGCTTGCTCTCATTCATAGGTGCACATTCAAAAAATTTGTAGCTTGGTCCAGAGCACTCCAGGGACCGGAAAAAAGTGGATTAAGGTCAGCAAAGGGTCGCCGATTGAGAAATGTGGGGCACACATGTTGTGGGCGGTGCCAGCCCGAGGTGGGCGGAGACAGACAAAAGTCTGTAAAACACGGAAGTGGATGGTCAGGAGGAATCACCGTGTGATGAGGCACACACTGCCGTTGTAGGCGGAGCGTGCGGCTAGGCGGCGGAGCCAAATGCAGAAAAATAGAATGGTTCCATAACAGACTCCAGGCACCGGCAAAGACGAGCAAAAATGTGCAGGAGCTCCGCTATTGAAGCGAGATTTACGCGCCCATTCTGTGCGGAGCTGTGTCGATGTTGTGGGCGGGCGAAGGTCAAAAATTCACGAATTAGTTGCAGAGCAGCATAGGCACCGTACCTCGGCCACACGCGCTTGTTGGTCGCGAGGATTCGATTCTTTAGCGTACAGTAAATCAGGGCCTCCTAATACTGACTCTGGTTTCTGATGACTAATAAATATATGTTAGGCATTATCATGATATGTGATACTAAGAGATAAGAAATAAGGAAAGAGACAAAGGGA